AAATTAAGCCATTGCACGTGAAAGTGTGCATTGTGATGGGACACACCGAGTGGATCGTGAGATGCGCTGATTGAGTGGCGAACATCGTTGCAAGATGCCAATTTACGCAGGATCACATCTGACCATTAAATTCCAACAGGACATTTTGCAAAACATTATTCTGTTCGCTACAAAACGTAATAATAAAAGCCCTGTGCCATTATTGGCAATAGCACAACAGAGTGTGCCAATGCCATGATCCGAATGAGTAAATTAAAAACTCATCCCCAATAATAAATAATTGGTTTTAAGGATCGCATGCTGTCCCTTTAATTAAGCATGCAAAGCACCGCCAAAATGAATGACCCCTTATGCCCGGGATATGGGCACAGTGTAGTTCACTGGTATGATTATCCATTTTTAATAAGATATTTGTAAACATTATTAATGTAATTATATAGTTGACTATAAAGTAAGTAAGGAATTAATTAGATTTTCTCCAAATAAAATACAACTTCTTTTCCCAGTTGGAATCACGTGGCCATGTAAATGAGTCTCGGTGGATACCCTTAAAAATTGTTCTGCAATGAAAATACACTTTTTAATACACTATAGCAGCAAAGTTTGCCTGTAAGCAAGAGCATAATTCGATTTAGCAGAACATTTTAACGTTTTGTTAGGATTCCTATGGAATCGGTTGTAAACTACAATTATTGCAAATTAGTTTCACATCTGCAACACATCACATTGTAAGTAGTTACGTGATTTTGCTTTTCATTAACGCGTACATTTCCGAGTAAGTTAATGGATCTTGTTCGTACAAGAAATGGAAACAAACGTTTAAATGTTCGTTCGAAAAAGACGCGGGACGACATCTGCTCAAAAAAAACCTACGTTTTAGGCAAATCCGATCTGTCGTTTCCCTCCTTCCTAAATCTGCGTGCCGTCCGCGAGATAGACCGTCCTAACGATTCTGCCTTCGGTAGTCCTTGCGAAGAGTTTTCGCGCACCTCCGATTAGCACGGTTTTCTACGTGCGGTGCGAAAGAAATTCAAAGTACGTACGTACATACAGACACCGAGCCCTGTCCAAACCGCAGCGTCAACAATTCCCGGTCTTCTGGGCCTGGCCCCACTTTCCTTGGACCGAGACACTTTTTGATTTTGGTTTCCCTTTTCTCCTGGCAGCCTCCGGGATTCTGCAGCGAATGGTCACCTCGGTCTTCTTGATCGGCTCAAGGAAACCCCCACCCCTCTTTGCTGCCCGTTTCTTTGAGGGGCGATTTGTCTGACGGCAGCTGCCCAGGGGACCACAGCATGAGGTGGAGTCCTTTCATCCCAAAGGCCTCAGGCATTTCTTTCTTCGCCTCTCCCCAAGTCAACGTGACACGCGTCGTCGAAATGTTCACGAGATCCTCACACTTCCGTTGCCCCCGGCAAAAAAAATCCCTCAATGTTGCCTTTTAAGGATCCTTTGCTCCAGGACTGATCTGAAAGCGTGCTGCTTGGTGCCGGGGGAGGAGGGCCGTTATGGTGGCTTGAGTTGTTGCCACTTTGGAGACCAGCGGAGACCGCTGATCGACGAACGCTCGTCGGGTTGACGATGGCGTTCGTCGTTGGTTTCTCGCTTAACAGAGCGCACCTCCGATTAGCACGTTTGGCAACGTATCATCCGCGCAGCGGCTTTTGGCTAACCGTCGAAGATGGTCAACACATTGAGCACTTTCAGCTGCACTTCTGTGGCCATCTGGAATGATCTTCCTTCCAATATTAGGACGCCACTGTAGCGATGCACTTTGTTGTGTTTCATTTGTTGTCATTCCCCCGCACCTCCAATTAGCACGGTTGGCTACGTATGGTGCGAAAGAAGTTTAACATACATACATGAATGCTGCTACCATCTTCCACTCCCCTACTAACGTGGCCAACCCTCGCGATCCACACGAAGCTACGGGCAACACAGGTTCTTTCCAGAGGAGGATCTTGGTTTGTTGGGAGTGCGATGATCCGTTCGCGCCAGCTCGGCCGGAGAGAGGCTCGTGATCCACCTTACATCCATCTTCTGTTTCAGCCGAGCCAAGGCGTGGAAAAGCGTTGCGACTCGCAGGCCAAGCGTACGCGTATATCTTCAGCGACATTTAACTCGCGCTTGTGTAGAATTTTTGAGGTATTGATTGTAAGAGCAACAATATCAACACCTAGGTGAACAGACTGGATAATGTATGGACACATAAGCCGGAATACATTTAGGAGAACTATTTAAGCAATTTTTTATTTGACCATTTATGGCCCACTGAGCTATATAGCTATTTTTCAGGAGTGAACAGGCCACAAATGATAGCCCAATGAAATGGCTTATCACGTGGAAATTTAGAGCAGCCAAATACTCTAAACGCACGTTGATTCTAAATATGGGAGGGGAAAATCCGGAGGACCCAGAGAAAACATTAAAGCGACCAACGGAAGAACATGCAAACTCCAAATGTACAAAAAAAACACTCATCACCACAAAAACTAAAGGGGAGCAATGATCTGTACAGATCGTGTTTACAAATTCACATACACATCTTATCCTCAGGGTGACTTCCTGCTCAAATGAATGTGGAGGTGGCACTCATCTCCTGCCTGCCACTCTGAGCCAGCGGTGGTAATTCCTCATTCCTATGGTGGGGGCGAGTCTGTCCAGAAGACAACAACCGCCCTTGTTGACTTCCCCACAAAGTGGTACTTCATTTTATTAACCCCGGAGAGAGATGATGGGGCTGAGTCTACCCGCAATTGGGAGTTGAATTCGTAAACCTTTCCGATTTCAGCTGCTGCCTCTACAGCTGATCCAGCTGACCAGATTCAAGATTCTAGATTTGAAGCTTTCGTGACTGCAAGGATTCATATTCTTAGGTTTTTTTCTGTAAAGTCACGTAGGTAAAAAATTAAAATTAATTAAAGTAAAATAAAATAAAAATCACGTTTCGGAGGCAACACAAGCTTCCGTCTTCAGGTGGAACAGCACGATAGCTGTATCAAGTACTTACTTGATACAGCTATCGTGCTGTGACGGTTTAACTTGATACAGCTATCGTGCTGTGACGGTTCCACCTGAAGACGGAAGCTTGTGTTGCCTCCGAAACGTCGTGATTTTGATTTTAATTTGATTAATTAAAAATTTTACCTACGTGACTTTACCGAAAAAACCTAAGAATACAGATTCAAGATACTCCATGGCAGTACGGACCGGGCGGTCACGGCTACGCGCATAGGCCTGGAACCCAGCACCGCAGAGGCGAGAGTTGAGTTGGTGAAGCCAACATCCGGGCTTGCTGGGAAGAAGGTACGACAGCAAAGTGTGGACTCCTCCTGTTCCGTCTGTCTTGAGTGCTGCCCCCGCCCCCCTTGTTGGGTTTCCTCTCGGTACTTCGGTTTCCTTCCCGCATGTATAAACACACCCGTGAATGAGCTGTGCGCCTTTTGGCGTCCTCTGGTCTAGCACCAATTGAGACGAGGCTCAAAAGAAAGCCGTCTCTGGTGTGGACCAATCAGTTTCAAGGACAATGCATATATTGTCAGAGTGTGTTTTTTGTTTGCATTTTGACCACAAGTATTGTGGATAATGCACTCGTGATTCCTCGTAAAAAGGTTTCAGTTTTGTTGTCAGAAACAAGGGGCAAAACCCTATTATTACACTCATAAATTGGCAAAAAAAACATCTTAATATGTAGGGAACAGCAGAGCTTGATTGGCAATTGTTTTGGTAGTGCTGGCTCGCTGCCTGGCTGCCTTCCCGCTTGGTTTGTGATTTCTCAGCGATGGTGAGATTCGATTTGATTGGAAGAGGCGATATATATCTAAGACGCTAAACATTACTATTGTAGAGCAAAACAGCGCTAAGTCAACTGCTATTACGCGATGGCAAGTACACGTTTAAGATGTGGAAAAAACTGTACTTTTTTACTTCATGGAATACTGTATGAAGTAATTATTTTATTAAATATATCAAACAAACAAATAAATCCAGATATGTAAAACTCGTTTTGTAAATGTGGGAGCATTTCTTTCATCCCAGTTCTAATACGCACATTTATACAAAACGAACGTTTTCATATGAGACTATAAACACGTTGCAAATAACGTTTGGTACGATATTTTATTGCAAGCAAACCCTTTGAAGTCCATTTCTATTATTAAAGATGCTAGTGTACGCGAAGGACATAATGCTAAAACAATTCATGTTTGTCTTACCTCCTTCAAATTCCACCGCGCATGTTGTTTTCCATTTAATTCAACTCTTTCACTCGAACGCTCTTTCATACACGCCGATTGGGTTAGCATCAGCCAGAACGTTTGCTTACTCTGCTCTATCTTTCATCGGCATAATTTTAATCCTGTCTGTAAGTTCACGAGCATTTTTTCACCACCGCGCTATAAATAAACTCGAGGCAACGGTAGTCGCGCGTGCAGAATGGCTAAATGTAAATAGCATTTTACTCGCCTAACAGTCTATAAACGCCGACGATTTGCTCATTAATGTGCATGAATTACCACGCACCTTTACATATTGCTCTCAATTTTTTTGGGTTGTCGGCCATTTGGGTCCACACGTGACAGCACTGCATGTTACGAACAATTATTAAATACACCCTCCTATAAAAAGTGCGTAAACACCAGCTGAGTTGAGCTTTTTGCAGGGCGCCTGGACTCAAACATCAAATTCGAGTTCATGATCACATTCGCACTCATCATCATCGTCGTCGTCTTCTTTATGGGGTCAATAAAAACGAATAGCACTTTGTCGTGTAAATTAACATTGCCATGGAGAAGACTGGACACTGCAATGTGAAATTTCAACCACTGACCCAGGTCACACCATTGGAGTTGAGCGCTGCCAAAAATGCCCATTTGACTTTGATTATCCCTTAACGTTACATAAGTTTAGCACCGAGCCTTTTTTGGTACGTGTTATTGGACACGCGTAATGGCAAAGCCTGCAATCCGTAACGGTGAATGAGGGTGTGATGTTGACATTACCTTGTAACTGCTGCAATTTGGTATTCTTTTCTTCAGCCACAGGATTTTCAAACTGAGTTTTTCTGTTGATATGACTGCAGAATGGTGGGGAAGGGAGGGATAGAGGGGAAAGCACACGAGTTAAAATTGTTGGCTTTTCAGTTACGGAAATTTACACCCAACAATCAACAACTTTGGATAACCTCATCACCCCTGCCATAGGATAATAGAACTTTCACCACTGAACTGACATTGCAGTGTTGTTTTTTCATGGTGACAATTTGAGTAATTGCCACATTAAATATGCGTAAGCACACCGCACTTTTCTAATGTCATTTTTTTTTACGTTACTTGTTTTATTAAGGTGCACTATATATTCAATTCATATTCGGATGGACACAGCGTTTAAGGTGTTCGGTATTCATTGGAATTTGGAGTGCACGGAGTTATTTTCTGAATACATTTGAGCACTCTTAAGGGAGGAAAGTAGATTTTCTACTGTTTAGGGGGAAACACAAATCTGAAGTCATTGTTTATTTTCAACAGAAATAAATAAATATCAATCGCTCCAAAAACTAACCAAAAACTTTCGGCGCGAATTAAATCCTGAAAATGTCATTCAAATATAATCTTGTCCAAATGAAATAGCTTTTACAAAAAAACATACTTGCAGGGGTTGACATTTCATCAGTTGGCAATTTCAGATCGACATTGCGTAACTGCCTATCTGATCTTTAAAAATGTCTTTTTCTCCATTGGAAGCGGCTGATTATAATGTGGGCACATGAACGTTAAGGGTTTGTGTTCCTGTCATGGAGTCACTCGTGGAAAGGAGAATATACACCGACAACGCGTGTACGCAGGCCTTCTGTCAATTATAAATAAAGGTGCGGCCTTGCAATTACTTGCTCCATAGAACTCCGCTCGAGAGTACGTAGCCTAGAAGTGGGAGTTCTCACACTTGACCCCACCACACACGACCTGCTGATCGACTCACTGTGGCAGACCCATTTACACGCACTCATTACGCACAAAATGCTTGTCACGAATGGACCACAATGCATTGCTGATTTCGTCAAGAAGCATAAACCATCGTGTCAATTCCGGTCACCCTCGCAGCGGCTTTCGGCTCGCCACTGAACAAAGACGGTCACAGCATCGTGCGCTTTAAGATGCACTTCCGCAAGGCCGTCTTGAACCCTCTTTTCCATCCGATATTAGGAAGCCACTGAAGCTATGCACTTTTAAATCTAGACTGAAAACTCATTTCTTCAGAACTGCTTTGTGTGTTTCGTTTGTTGTCCTTCCCCCGCACCTCCGATTAGCACAGTTGGCTACGTACAGTGCGAAAAAAGTTCAACGTACATACTTGCCAACTGTTTGAAACTGCCGCTACGGATATTGAATTTGCGAGCTCTGGATTGCAAGCCCAGTGCGCTAACCCTCACACCATGTAGGCATCCCTCTCTTTGTCAATAGTTTACTCAGAGCCAAAAATCACAGCATCACCACTCTGCTCTAACAAATACGGCGTGAGTACTCAGATTTATTGGTGGCCGCGAGCCGGTGATGAGAGCTCCACATTCCTATGGTAAGGGCCAGTCTCTCCAGAGGAAACACAATGTTGACCTATTACAATGCTGATCATCTGTATTGTGGAGTCTTTAACAAGATCACATCGGTTCTGAATCTGTGATTTGGTAATTTCGTAGCAGCTAAGCTGCCAATGTGTGATCAGCATTTAATAAAACATACCGTATGTGCCATGAATCAACAATTTTTAGTCAGCGTCACCCCGCTGAAATCATCGTCATGGACTTGAGCCAATGGTGGAAATTCCATGTTCCCACGGCAGGAGCCAGTTTATTCACAGGACAGTCACAAAGTGGCATACATTTTATGATCCGCAAAGTTGATGACCTGGGCCGATCCCCCCCCCAACCCCCCCACCCCCTCCACCAACCCCCCCAACGCCACCACCCCCTACCCCCAACCAGCGTTTGAAACTGCAAGCTGACTGCGAGTCGAGAGCTCTAACCACAGCAACACAAGCTGGGTGGATACGCAAAGCGGACACGCGGTCAGTCGCTCGCTCGCTCGAGTACAAATTGGCGTCTAAAAGCCTCCTGCTGCACCGCGCTCTTGTGCGGCAATGAAAGCGAGGGATGATGGGTCACGGGCGGAGCGAGCCGGGCACTCGGTGCAGGGGTCACGTTCTTGACCCCCGCGGGGGTAATAATGCTAATGCGCGGATTGACAGCCGAGCCGTGGCCCCGCTGACAACGACGATCGCAACAAAAACAAACAAAAAAACCCACACGAATGCATTGCACGACCTGTAAAATATCAAACGTAACGAGCTTTCAGGAAGACGAGTGTTGCAACACGGAGCGTGCAGTCAAATATCACTCTCATTCGGGGGAAGAAAAAAAAAACGGGCCAAATGTTTTCCCCCTACGCAGCCTTTGTGGTGGTTCCCCAGCGGAACGTTGCGGACAGACGGACCGGGTGCCAGGGTGCTCTACGTTCAATGTCGTCTGTCCTCGAGACACAAAGGGTTTGTTGTTGTTGTTGTTGTTATTCAAGCAACATTTTTTTTGCTTTTAAAAACGGTCGCGGCCTTTTCCATTTGCGCAGATGCAATTTGTCGTCAATGCGCAAAAGCTGCGCAAGGGGTAAGATCACGGCAACAATAATTTGAGAGAGAAAAGAAGTGCACGAAATGTAACTTACTCTACATAATACACGCCATATTCTGGGTCATCGACCTTCTCCCAGCCAAAGGGTAGTTCTGAAATACACAAAAACAGGAGCGGCAAAGCACACAACAAACACTTTTTTTTAATCACAGACGTCAACATAAACGACTATTTAACACGTAGGCTTTCACCGAGCAATATTATGATTCGCAATTTATTCCTGGGTATGGATTATGCGCGAGTATAATGCCGATGTGTGTCATACACCCTGCTCCACCGATCAGGAGGATTATTGCAATTGCCTGATTAGCAGCGAAATGTCACACCTAGTAGTTAAATGTTGTGGCTTGTGATGCAATACGCCAGTGTGATGACGGAACGATAAATTAGTGCACTTATTCACAGGACAACTTTATTTTTTTCGGCTGTGCCAGGGTGGAGGAGGGTGTACAACACACATGCCGCCATTTTACTTACAAGATCGGACGCAAACAAAAACAATTATGAATAAATAACAACTCAAGTTTTATTCTTCAAATCACAAAATCTGCTGCTGCCATACTTTGCACAGCGGATGCAAATTAGGGGTTGTGACCCAGAAGCTTCACGGAAGATGGAAGCCAGGGATTTTCTGCATCGGTTCTTTTGCAAAGCACAATATCCCTTGGCTAACAGTAAATTGGGTCAAGTCTTAGTACAAAGTTTGAACCTTTGGACATAACCAAAAAGGCAGTTAAAATATTACTCAGCACCGGTGTTACCAGCGGCCAGGAATCAAACTCGGCATCGCCCAGTTCATAGCGCAATGCGCTAACCACTATACCACCATCTTCTTGGTTCTTTCGGTAAAGTCACGTAGAATGGAAATAATAAAATAAAAAATATATAAACTTTTATTATTTTATTATTTCCATTCTACGGCAAAGTCACGTAGAATGGAAATAATACAATAATAATAAAAAGACTTTTATTATTTTATTATTTCCATTCTACGTGACTTTACCGAAAGAACCAAGAAGATGAATCTCTGCAGTCATGAAAGCTTTAAATCGAAAAAAACTATACCACCACTCCACTGCTCACGTACAATTTTACACAGGATCCAGTTAACAAACAGATCATTAGGAATATTCTTCACACGCCCGTCTCTGCTTCTTCTAGGAAACTAAAGAGACAACAGACAGCTCTTAGATATTTACAAAAAACATTATGCAGCGTTGCCGGACTGCATATTTATTTGCACCAATGGTGCATTCACTTCAGTTGGTGTATGCAGCACACATCACGTGAGAATGCGAGTCTGGAACATTTGAGATCTTTTCAGGTTCAAGCCCTGGACTGGACAAGTGAGAAATGAACATCCGTGCTTGAGCCTGACAGGGTTATCCACCTGGAGAGAGGTTGATGGTTTCATCTCAGCCTGATGGCTGCGCACACACACACACACACAAATATCTGAAATTGCCTTTCCCCACTTGATTCAGTTGTACTCGTCTCCGTGAATGGACTTGAACACGGTGCTACACTTCAACACTCAGACCTCAAACCACCGTTTGGCTCGGCGGGCTAGTATTCTGTGGCAATGTTTGTCAAAGTATTCTGTGCTTCCCCCCCCCCCCCCCCCCCCCGCTGCTTCGCAAACATGCAAGCTGCTGGTAGCAAATGCGGATTGCATGAGGCGGCAAAATTATCCTCAGGGTGAATATCTGCGTGTTGCACTCCTTCGTACCATACGTAGTCAACTGTGCTTATCGTAGGTGTATACAGTTACTGGACGTCTTTGAAAAAGAGCTTCATAGCTCATCGGATTTCTCCGGTCTTTATCGAGATTTTGTTTCTGTACCCTGGTGGCTGGCGTGAGACCTCTTGAAAAGACAACGAGCAATCACGCCCTGTACATCGCCACTCATAGATGACCGCGGTTAGTTTACCGCGGTACGTACATATCCGGTGAACCCGAATTTGATTTCTGGTCACGGCTAAAATCGCTGGGGAGTGATATCCGAACGAGTGTTGGCCCCAAACCTCCGTGTGCCACCTTGCACCAATCTGCACTGAAGTATGGTCAGAACACCACCACAGACCAACAGTCTGGGGAGGCCTTCATCCCGCAGTGGACTAGAAATAGGACTCTAACATATAACTAATCATTGTTTAGTTATTAATTGGTTTATCACCCTTTTATCTGGCAACAAAACTGACACAATACCTGCGGTCGGAATGCAAACAAAAAAGACAACTCTGATAATGTATGCACTGTCCCGGAAATTGATTGGTCCACACCCAAGACAGCTTTTCGTAGAGCCTAGTCTCACATGGTGTTGGACCAGATGACGCCTTTTGACCAATCAATTTCAAGGACAGTGGCATACATTATCAGAGTTGTGTTTTTTGTTTGCATTCCAACCGCAGGTATTGTGGTCAATACAAACATTAGTCCTTGTAAAAAATGTGTCAGTTTTGTCGCCAGATAAAAGGGTGAAAAACCAATGATCTTATTTTGCTACTGGCAAAGGAGGTTTCAACATTGTTTAGTTATTAAACAATAATAATGAAATAGAGGCCCATTGCTTTAAACATCACCTATTACGTACCTTTCCTTCACAAGTTCACAGTGCGAATGTGTTCAGTGTTTGTTGTTGTTATTTGTAGGTACGTTGAACTTCTTTCGCGCTGTACAAAGACAACCGTGCTAATCGGAGGTGCTTGTGCACCACTGCCAACGCAGCAGCAGCATCAAATAATGTATTTGATTTCAGCTGCGGTATTAACATAATTTCTTTGACTCCATCTCTGCTCGTAGTTTATTGCACGATCACACGTGGGTGAGGCCCAGTGCATCTCGTATCGATACTCATTGTTTCGCAATTGAATTGCAGGCTTCTTTCATTTGATGGTCCATCCATGGATCATCAACGAAAGGGCATTACTCACAACTTGAGCTTTGCATGAGGACGCGTCATTCGTCGTGCTGTTTTAAGCGACGAGTGGATGCAAAGTGACTTTAAGTAAAATGGGTTAACGTGCCCGATTAGCAGCTGAACATGCAACAATGTCGAGGAATGCCCATATTTGTACTTTGTTTACCACGGAGCAGGATCTTTAAACAAAGTTTTGATAATTGTTTTTTTTACCATTTTTTCTGGCAACAAAACTGACACCTTTTTTTACAAGGAGTCATGTTTGCATTGACCACAATACCTGCGGTAGGAATGCAAACAAAAAACAGAACTCTGATAATGTATTGCACTGTCCTTGAAATTGATTGGTCCACACCCAAGACAGCTTTTCTTAGAGCCTAGTCTCACATGGTGTTGGACCAGATGACGCCAAAGAAAATCAATTATCATATTTTGCTACTGGCAAAGGAGGTTCCAAAAAAAGTGTTGCATACAATTGATAAAGAAACAAATATTAATAGCTTATACTTGTTCCACACAGCGGGCATTATCAGTCTGACACCAATCTGCCACATAATTATTTCACAATTGGAATGGGAGGTGATAGATTTTCTGTGCTCAATGCCACTGATTTAAAAATAATATAGATTAATATTTATAAATGTTGCTATTCACAGCGACGTGCAAGACGGCGGACAAGATAGATTTGTGTGTTGGGTTGTGGCAGGAATGCTTCGGCCCCATAAACCTATTTCACATTCACGACATTGTTTCACCGATTGCTACAAGTGAAGTACCGGTGAAGACGCTTGACGCCGAGGTTGAGGCACACGTATATTTATTTCACAATACGACAGTGGGCATATAACACTCGAGGGGGTATCGGCCCCCTCACCCGTATAACTTGGAATACACCCCTAGCTAGCTCTGTCCTAGCCCCGAATCCTCCACTACTGGGCTAGGGGAGGCTATCTGGCCCGACACTGGTAAGTCGGGCCCAGTACCCGGAGTTCCAGACCAGCTCTTACAAGAGCACCGGCTCTGGCTTTCGGGACCACGCCGCTGGCTCAGTCCTGTCCGGCCCTGAAAAGGACATCGAACTAGGGGAGTCCAGGGCTCTATCTAAGACGTCTTCAGTCTTCTTCCCTTAGCTTAAAACATAACTGACTCGAGCCCTTTGAACATCCCCTTTTATACCCAACCCCTCCCTGAGGGGTGGGGCCCCGGGGGATCATAACGTTCGAACCAGCCCCCCCCAGGGTGTCTGGCTCGGACGTCGTAGAGGGCATCTCCTCGTGCACTTACGTAGCCCCGCCCACTGTGTTTGTTTTCCATAGGCTGCCATGCATAACGGGCCCTCTCTTTAACACCCCTACACAAGTAAGCAACATTAACATTAAAAAGCTGTAAACACAAAACTACATTAAGTAAAAGAAAACCCTGCCAAATACAGGCGAATAATTTCCTGTTGACAAATATGCACTCCTGTGCTTACACAAATCCTGATTCATGAAAGACTTCTGAAAATGATTCATTACATGTTGACGTACTATGCATGAGTGATTCACGTTGTAATGAAGTGGGAGGGGAAGGTGGCGGATGGGGGGGTGGTGGGGGAAGGGAGGGGGGAGATGGGGGAAGGGAGGGGGGAGGTGGGGGAAGGGAGGGGAGGGGTTAGGTGGGGGATGGGAGGGGGAAGGGGGGGGAAGGGAGGGGGGAGATGGGGGGAGGGGGGAGGTGGGGGAAGGGAGGGGAGGGGTGGGGGAAGGGAGGGGAGGGGTGGGGGAAGGGAGGGGGGAGGTGGGGACGGGAGGGGGTGGTGAGGGAAGGGAGGGGGTGGTGGGGGAAGGGAGGGGGAAGTCTTGCGATCGAAACGTCGCAGTTTTTTTGAACCTATCTACGTGACTATACCGAAATATCCAAAGAACATAAAAAGAACAAAATCGTGTCTTTGACAATTACGAACTCGTTGACGAACAATCCCAGACGGCTCAAACCACGCGTGCATCTCCACGTTTTACCGCGCTGCGCGTTAAATCTACCTTGGAACACAAAAACCAACCATCCTCAAGGGGCGTTAACTGGGGCGTGCCCCCCCCCCCCCCCCCAATGTACGCAAAAACACAACTCAAGCAGCAGGCGAAATTTGCCCCAAATCCCCCCCCCCCCGGCTCAGCGAGGGGATTGCAGTT